TTTCAAAGAATTGACATACATTTAAATTAAGATTTTTCTAAAGAAAAAAAACATGCTTTGCTTAGGAAAGGGTATTAACAAAAGCTTTAATGTAAAAAATATTATGGTGGATTGTATGCATGATATATGGAAGAGTTTGAATTTCACTCATTTCCACATAAAAATTATGGTGGAGCAACCTTAGATCTCTGGTAATTAACCCCCATGTTTCCAGTTCTTTGACATGAGTAAATCATAATACATGGATTTTTACCAGTTAAAAAAACTTTATGATGTACAATCTTTGCAGCAGGCATGCTTAACATGAAACAAACAATATTATACTCTTGTATCTATACACATGCACAAAAGTTAAGCGCCACCATATTCATAGTCTCTTACTTTCACGTGTGGGAATCAGAAATACGAAATATGATGATGTATGACTGAATTAGGCTTCCATAGTTTCATGAACCCAAATTTGTCCAGATACCACAAGGAAAGCGTGCTTTACGTGTTGCTGCAGTTCCCCTACCCTATAAATAGTGAAATTCAAGTTTCAGACACGTGGTTGCATTTTGCTCCTGTGTGAGATTCCCCTTCCAATAGAGGTTGAAAATCAGCTATGGTGAGGAGAAAGTTAACGAACGCTGAAAGTGATAGGCATGAAAAATGCTGGCATGTCATGCAGGGCCATTGCAAGACAAATGGGTCGTCATCACAGTGTTATCACTCGTTTGATTGTCAAACATGGTCAAACCAATGATGTCAATGACAGGCATAGGTCTGGTAGGCCAAGAAAGACCTCTAACAGAGAGGATAGACGTCTTTTCAGGATAGTCAGACGAAATCCATTTGCCACTTCAACAGATTTAAGACTGCAGTGGAAAACCCATCAGAGACTCTCGACGATGACCGTAAGGCGTCGTCTCAGAGCGGCTGGTTATAACGCCAGAAGACCAGTAAAACGCCCTCAACTGACTGAGAGGCACATGCGGAATCGTCTGATATGGTGTCGTGCCCGTAGTCGATGGAACGTGGCCAACTGGAGAAGGATCCATTGGTCTGACGAGTGTCGAATGCTGCTACGAACTGTTGATGGTCGAATACATGTTCGGAGGCAACGTAACACTCGTTTTGCACCAAGGAACATCCAGAAGACCTTAGCATGTGGCGGGGGGTCTGTCACACCTGGTTTGGTCTGGTGATATCATGACAGTTACATGACAAAAAAAAGTTTTTCAATGTTTTCTAATCCTTCAATTTCTGGTCTTCAGTAAGATTCCTTTCTGCTCATATTCTTTTGGAGCACAAGATAAACTTGCTTTTGGACAACTTATACATCACATGAGGTTTACATATACGGCTTATAACAATCGTACATCTCGTTATAATAGTCATCATTAAGTACCAAAAGTAACAGCTCACAAATATGGTGGGTGGCGCTTAACTTTTGTGCATGTGTATATAAAGAAATACCTATAATTCTACCTGATTCATAAATAGGAATATCAAGTACAATGGCTTTAGAATGAAAAAAATATTAGTTCAATATTTTCATTTTTGGACACATGTTAGACGTGACATTTCAGGTTCATACAAAATACAGTTGTATAGAAAATAGTTTCCAGTAACAACTTCCTTTCCTATGCCATAGTGATCTTCGGTCCATAATTCCAATTAATTAAGTATTTCTTTTAAAAAGCATCATATAGTAGCAGAGATAGTCAACATATTTCATTAAGGAAGATGCAAGGCATGTTGATCAATATTTAAAAGGTTAAAAGTCTCCCAAATAAATATTGTTTTAGATGTATATAACTGTTCTAAATATATAGGCTTGATTAGGAAAGTAAATCAGCTCGTAATTGTGTTTCGGAAATTACCTCCTTTGTACACATGCTGAGAAAGCTTTATTGGATATTTACGCATGCTGTTTTTATACATTTGAGTTTTTCATTTCTGTACGCAAGTTAATTGAAAGTAATTGGGTTATGAATATTTTTGGGAGTATTTTACGCAAATACGCTGCTTATCTGTAGCTCTGAATTGAGACAATACATAAAATATAATTTGTCTAAAGTAAGACAATTATTAGTTTTAGCAGGTACACTTTATCAAGAACAAAACAGTTTTATTTTCTCTAATTATTTATCAAGAGACTTTGATAAAATAATTATTTTTGGAAAAGTTCTAAGTTCATCGATGTCATAACGGGTAAAAATTGCATATAAATAAAAAATATTTTTTTACTGTTTTAAATTAAAATTTTCAGATTTATATCAATATAAAGATAACATTATAACCTTTCACTAGATACTGATACCAAATTAAAAACTTCACAATCCTAAGATAACAGCCGTTTTGTGCAGGTGAATCGATCAAAATCATGTCCACAGCACTATAGTGGCAAAAGTGTTTTTTCACGTGCAACTGGTCACGTGGCCATAATACCGTACGTGTTTTCAGCCATACTTGTTAGCAGTCATTAACAAAAAAGGAAAAACACAAGAAAACAATTTTTTTTTGTCATGCCACGCCATCAGCATGTTGCAGACGGGAACGTCCGTAGCTGAAGTCGCAAGGACGATGGGTTGTAGTCGACGGACTGTTTATGATTTACAGACGCGTCTACATCAAACAGGTACCACCGCTGATCGCATTCGGCCAGGTCGACCACGTGTCAAAACTGTGCAGAGGATCGTCAGATTGTCTAACGTCACCTCCGTAACCGATTTTTGACGGCTACCTTCAAGCACGACGGCCATACTGCGGGCCGATTCTGACTCAATTACACAGATGTCAACGTCAGTTGTGGGCACAGCGACACATACGATGGACTCAGGGGAATTGGAATCAAGTCGTCTTCAGTGATGAATCCCGATTTAATCTTCGATTTGCTGATGGTAGGGCGAGGTAGTGGAGGCGCCGTCATGAACGTTACGCCCAGTGTTGTGTACAGGAAGTTGACAGATTTCGAGGCGGAAGTGTCATGGTGTGGGGTGCTTTCTGCGGCAATGCACGTTCCAGGCTTCTTGTCATCCGTGGCAACCTCAACGCTGCTGCTTACCGCGACCAGGTACTGGCACCAGAACTTCTGTCTTTTATGGCAGCACATGGACCCGGTTTGATCTTCCAACACGACAATGCCAGACCCCACACAGCAATTTTGACATGGAATTTCCTTCAGAATGCGGGAGTCATCGTTATGGACTGGCCGTCAAGGTCTCCCGACCTCAATCCCATCGAACACGTCTGGGATGCTCTTGGCAGAAGTCTGCGCACTCTCCAGAACCAACCACAGAATTTGCAAGATCTTGGCACCATTTTGCAGCAACAATGGCGTCGTCTTCCCAATCATGTGTTCACAAGCATCACAAGGTCAATGCGGAGGCGTTGTGTGGCAGTTGTCAACGCACATGGTGGCCATACACGCTACTGAACTTGTATGCCATCAGATTCTCGTGCTTGGGACTTATGATTTAAACTGTTGATGTTATTACCGAATACCGTAGGTACTTGGAACAAATTATGGTTACCACCGTTAATTAAAATCCTTCTTTGGACATTAATTATTAAAAATTACCTTCTCTGATACATTTATCCGTTGTATATCATATATGGGATTTCTTTTAAAAATGTGAAGTTTTTAATTTGACTCAGTATATATTGCTTAAAAATAAAAAGTTTCAAGATATTTCTTTAAAAAATAATTCTAAAAAACAGTTCATTTATTGGTATGTTCAAAATTAACCTTAATTTTGATAATGCTCCCAACCTCAGATATTTTAAGGGGCGGTCGGGTAGCCTAGTAGTTAAAGCGTTAGCTCGTCACGCCGAAGACCCGGGTTCGATTCTCGACATGGGTACAATGTGTAAAGCCCATTTCTGGTGTCCCGCGCCGTGATATTGCTGGAATATTGCTAAAAGCGGCGTAAAACCGAACTCACACTCACTCAGATATGTTAAGACTTTTAGTATGTAAATACTCGGGTATTTCTGACTTAGAAACAAAACGATTTGTTGCTGTTGCAATTTGTTTTGGGTTCCCCCACTTTAGGCTCTAAATCTCCTGGCCTAGTTTCATTTTGGCGGTTTAGGCATCTGTCATAATGTCAGTTGCAATCACAAACCTGGTTTGGTATAATGAGGTATATGGCTTTTACGTTGTTTGATTTTTTAAATATTTAAAAAGGACGGGGCATATTGATGCTTTTTATCTTCTTGATCAGTTTACATCCGACAGTCGATGGTATACAATATCCACGTGCAATGGCAAATAGGGGTTTCATTTACGGCTTCAAGTACATCAACTTTTTAAATATCATAATCTACTGACATGACATTACGTTGCGTGATTAACTATCAAGCTATAGGAACACACAAACGGGATCCAAATCAATCTTACTCATCTTATTATCCACGCAATCCGAAATCCGAAAATGCTTTCACTGCGTGGATACTTTTTTTTAATTGGACTATAGTGAGTGAGTATGGTATAACGCCGCTTTTAGCAACATTCCAGCAACATCACGGTGGGAGACACCAGAAATGGGCTTCACACGTTGTACCCATGTCGGGAATCGAACCCGGGTCTTCGGCGTGACGAGCTAAAGCTTTAACCACTTGGCTACCCGACCGCCCCGTATGCGCGACCGGAGACGGAACAGCAAGTCTGCTGCAACTCATCTTTAACCAGCAAGGGTTATTTCCGCTGTCCTAAATAGACTGTGTAGCCCAGTGTCTTGTCACGCTCAGCTGGGTGGCAGCGCCCCTTTGATACTCCAAACGAAGTGTTTGTACATGTGATTGTGATACATGATTCAATTTTATGGTTCACAGGAATGTTTTTCCACTAGTACTGTATATATCCGACATATAATAGGGCCCAGAATGTGTAGCCCACACAGTTCTGAGAAAAGCGCGCTTCGAACCCGCTCCATTGGATATCCAAAAGTATAGTATATTTACAGAAGCAGACAGTTAGTCAGGATAGAGTTACTTCCCCCTAAATATCACATGACCGAGTATCACATGCACTGTTACCGACATCAACAAGAGAGCAGTTATGCCAATGCAGTGTCAGTAAGTTTATTTGAAGTGCTTATTGTTGTGGCATTGAGTACGGGTGCGACAGCTTGCTCTGTTCAGATGCATCAAGTTGTAGATGTACCAGTTGTTACGAAACGAGTGGAATTTTGATTCATGATATAGTCTAGTCAGCTCATGACCCATCTGGGTACAGCTTCAGCGATAACTGCGGTTGTTTTAGGACAGTTTACCCCGCTATTCATAAATGATAAAGTTCAGGTGACAAGGTCGAGAGAACGTTTACCACAAAATAAAACATTTTAAATTGCCTCCAACAATCAAGTAGACGTAGGTCAATCATATTGACAAGTTCCTAATTTCGAAAATGAATACTTATAATTGAAATTATATTGGTATGTACAATGATTGGGTAACCTTTAAAGGACCTAAATTTCATGATGATTGATTGATTGGTTTGTTGTTTAACGCCGCACTCGGCAATATTCCAGCTATATGACAGCGGTCTGTAAATAATCGAGTCTGGACCAGACAATCCAGTGATTGATATCATGAACATCGATCCGCGCAATTGGGATCGATGACATGCATCAACCAAGTCAGCGAGCCTGACCACCCAATCCCGTTAGTCGCCTTTTACGACAAGCATAGTCACCTTTTACGGCAAGCATGGGTTGCTGAAGATCTATGCTACCCCGGATCTTCACGGGTCAATTTCATGATGAACAGTCAGAGGCCTGTAGTTGTGGGCACGATGTGCACAAGCAGTTTGAAAACCTGCGTTTGGATGTATCGTGACAGAATTGTTGCACATCATTATCAGAGAGCACTGTTATATTATGGACAACACAATGTTCAAGAATTCAAACTCTATTCAACAAGATAATCAGTTATCCCCATGATGTCGCCAGCAGCTATGCTGGGACTGACCCCTGCGCCTGTATTCATGCACGTGCGTTTCGCTGATACCAAATAGTCCACAATATAGGCACATCATAACATCCCTCTTCGTCTTTTATCTTTACTCTGAACCACATCTCAGATAAACTCTTTGAAAGTTTGTGTGCGATCAGTGCTGTTCCAATCCATCGTGTGATGCAACCCCCTGTCGGCCATTGTGTGGCTATTTATAGCACAATGTAATATGTCATGATCCACTTGGGTACTAATAGCATCTATTTGGCTTCAAAAACAGTGTTGTGGCCGCTATTAATTGTCAAAATGCTGATCTGTATGTGAAATTGGCACAATGTTGAGACATTGACTTTCTTCAGTTGTGTTTTTTATCCTGGCAGTTAAAGGAGTTAACTGACTATAAAAGTCCAGTTTACACTCTTGCCGAACTAGGCTGGTATTATGGAGTAACGTTTTGTCTGGACTAACGAGTATATGCATAGTCCAATCAAAATCGCGCACCAAAATCAAAATCCGGTTCGTAAACTGTCGTGCAGATTTCGATCGATTGCAGGGTTTGCAAAGCATGTGCATCGCCAATTCGTTGTCAGCAGATATTTTCCAAATCCTTTCATGTTTTTTAATCAAGGTGCTCACGTGATTTGATGCATTTCGCGATATAAGACCCGTTTTATCACAATATAGATCTTGATAATCGATCAGATCGTCCTGACTGGGCGCCACCATTTTGTGTGAAGCAAACGCAAGTGATACGAATGGTGAAATCTGATTGGTCCATAGGAGAGGCTTAGAAGGGACATAATTGGTAATAGCCACTGGTGGCGCAACGATCAAGCCCAGTAATTCCAGCCAAGTTCGGCAAGGGTGGAAACTGGACTTTTAAAGTCGGTTAAGTCCCTTGTCCTGGGAAGATGAACATTGGAGGTACCACATGAAATCAACATAAAATGAACTATTACACTCTACTAAGTATAAAATACCCATTGCCAGACAAATCGTCTGCTGAATAAGGCCCGCCAGACACCCCCAAATGTTGACCCTTAATGCACTCAGTGGACACTCTGGTAAAATTTGACTAGAGTATACATTCAAAGTACCAGATGAAATTAAGTTTAGGTGAACAGGTACATGTTACTTAACAAAACGGCCCATACCTGACAAATGTTCCTCTGCTTAAGGTCCGCCATACCCCCCCCAGAGAGGGTCCCAAAATTTGGGCTGGGTTAAACATTGGAGGTACCACATAAAACCAACTTAAAATGAACAATTGCACTCTACTTATTGCACAATAGCCATTGCCAGACAAATCATTCTCTGCATAAGGCCCGCCAGACACCCACAAAAAGTTGACCCTTTAGGTATACACGGGTAAAATTGGGCTGGAATAGATATCGATTGTACCACATTAAGGTAAGTTTAAATGAACAGGTTCATATCACAGAGTACAGAATGGGCCACACCAGACAAATCTTCCTCTGCATAAGGCTTAAACATTGGAGGTATCACATGGAACCAACATAAAATGAACTATTACTCTCTACTTATTACAAAATACCCATTGCCAGACAAATCATCTTCTGCATAAGGCCCGCCAGACACACCCTCACCCTACCCCACACAGTTGACCCTCTGTAATGCCAGTGTGCATAATGATACATAAGAGGCAGAAGAGCATTGGACATCAGCTCTGAGAGTCAACAGATGGTCAAATTTATGTTTTAATTTGTTCTTAAAGATGGAGAAGGATTTTATTGAGATTAAAATCACGTATTTATAAAATTAGGCCTCTGAATACTAGTATTAGGCCTATCGTTGAAATGTAATGAAAATGGCATGAATCTGATTCTTGTGAATATATCTGATCAGCTATGAAGTCTTCAAAGCATGCTATAGTCTGATAGCTTGGCTATGGATTCCTACAAGCCAGATAGGCATATGATGCTATGTGCTATGATTTTTATATACTGAACAACAAAAGTTCCTGTGACATTGAATAAGATTTAATGCAAAGTTATGTTTTTTGCCAAATCTGAAACAATTTCGGTTTGCAACAGATAAAAGACTCCTGTAATTGTTCAAATGGTTTAATTTGCCATACTGACTTCAGAAAATGGATGTTTCAAGGTTCCTGGAGTGTCTGTGGAACACGTGGTTGACGTCAAAGGCTCCGATCCATCTCATCCCACATGTGCTCGATTGGTGATAGATCAGGGGAGCGAGCAGGCCAGAGGATGACATTCACGTTGTTTTGTGGAAGAGATCCTGAACAAGTCTAGCAATATGAGGCCGGGCGTTGTCATGTTGAAAGGTAATGCCTGGGCCATGACGACGCAAAAACGGTAGAACAACAGTTCTCGGTAGATCTCGTCGCCGTAGCGCTGTTTATTGAGATTTACCTCTACCACTATCAAACGGGTCCTTTGTCTTGCTGTAATCCCACCTGATACCATAACGCTGCAGCCCCAGAACCGATCTTCTTCCATGACACAATGACTGACGTAACGTTCACCTCGACGTTGGTACACTCGAATCCGTCCATCGCTGTGGCTGAGGTGAAAACGAGACTCGTCAGTGAATAGAACTTGTCCCCACTGTATTACCGTCCAGCATAGACGCTGTCTGGACCACTGTAGACATGCTTGACAGTGGTTTCCTGTCAAAATGGGATGTCTGGCGGGTCTTCTGGCGACAATCCCTGCACATCTCAGGCGGCAACGTACGGTTTGTGAAGATATTCGTCGTAAGGCCAGGGGTGCTTCCTGTAGTCACTGTTGCTGGCTGGAATCGATTTCTTAGACATGTGTGTTGTTCGAATCCAGTTGTCTTGTCAATTATTGGTGACGCGGGGCCTGCCACTCCGAGGATGGTCTCTGTTCCGGTTTCAGTTGCCTCCCGCTCAACCCCTCCAGGATCGGGTGGTTCGGCCTCTACTTCGGGATTCTGGTATCCAGGCTCAACCAACTGACAGTTCACACCCGTCGGGCGTTCTTGACGATCCCTCGTCAACGCCTTCCTCGGTTGGGAGTTTTGACCTAGCAGACCCTGAATTGTTCATGCATTGGATAGCTGATAAATTGCAGTTACAGCGGACGACTTCGGCTGCAGATAGGTTTTCCGGATTCGCAGTTCCGTCAGCTAGTTGGTCCAAGATCACGCTCCCTTTCAGACCGGTCTTACTGGACATTAACTCTAACCTAGATACGGCTTTTGCGTCCTTTCGTCGACTACAGGATCGTCTCCATATCCCCCGCTTCATCCTTGAAGACACAGGCACTCATGGCATGTCTACTACGGTCGCCTCCCTTGGTATTGACAGTGACGTTTCTACTCTCTCTCAGAAGCGCTCAACCTAAGGTGGAGGTTAGGCAGGAAGCAATTTGACCATGCCCCCAGACCCCTTCTTGACACAGCTGCTTCAACAAGGATATCGATTACCGATGATTGCACCGCTACCTACGACGCTCCATCCCCATCAGAGAACGTATCCGGCCAGGCAGCTACCAACATTGATCGACACTGTAGGTACGTTACTAGCAAAATCCTCTATCAAATGTCTCGGCACACTTCCCGCGACACCCGGGTTTTATTCCCCCTTTTTTCTTATCCCCAAAAAGGACACTTTAAAACTAAGGCTCATTTTCAACATGAAGACTTTAAATGCTACATACAACCCCACCACATTTTGCATGACGTAGATCGCACTCCTTCGTACGCTCATTCATCCCGGCGCTTTTCTGCACGTTCCCATCCATTGGGAGCACCGTCACTTCCTCCGGTTCATTTTTCAAGACCACCATTACCAATGGTAGGTGCTCCTGTTTGGAATTTCTTCGGCCCCGTGGCTTTTTACCCACCTGACCCGACCCATCACGAAGTTCCTACATCTTCGCGGGATTGTGTTTCGATTGTTATCTACATGACTGCATTCAAGTTCATGAAGATGCCAACTTCCACCGTCTACAACATGCATTCACAATACGTCTTCTCAGAGAACTTGGCTGGCTAATCAACGAACAAAAGTCGGAACTCATTCCCACCCAACGTCTCCAATTCATTGGAGCCCTGTTCGACACTTGATAAGGTCTGTTGTTCGTTCTCCACGACCGGTGGGTGAAGATTCA